GAGAAAGCAAGGCGAAACAAGGACCAAACACCCAGATGATTATGTCTTTGGGATATTTTTTAGGTATTCATCACTTGTTTTCCTCTATGTGTGAATTTTCTTAATTATTTCTAAAAAAAACTTTTTGTTTCCATTTTTACTACTTTTAATTCTTTCTATTCATATGAAAGTTTAATTAAGATGCCAAATTCTTAATTATTTCTGCTTATTCTTATATTAATTTTTTTTGCCAGTCATAGCTCATTATACTATGATTATTTTATGTTGACCTCTTTTCCTTCCTCTTTTCCTATTGGCTCATAGTATGTGCCAATTTTTTCTTAATTTCCCATTATTTTTTTATTAACATTTTCCCTATTTTTTCTAATTAATATGCTTAATTTTTCTTCATTTTCCTTTATTTTTTATATGTTTCCTTTTTTTTAATTAAGATGCTCAATTTCTCTTAATATTACAGTCTATTTTTTTTACTTATTTCCATTCCATTTGCTTTTTTAATTAAGATGGCCATTTTTCATTGAGTTTCCAATTTTCCATTTACTTGATCCCCTTTTTTTTATTTACTTGTTTACTATTTTTTTTATTTTGATGCTCAATTTTTTTCTTAATTTTCCATTTACTTTTTCCCCTTTTTTTTATTTACTTGTTTCCTATTTTTTTTATTTTGATGCTCATGTTTTTTCTTAATTTTCCATTTACTTGTTCCGCTTTTTTAATTTACTTGTTTCCTATTTTTTTTATTTTATGGTCATTTTTTTTCTTAATTTTCCATTAGTATTCTTTTTTTTTTTATTTTTTCCATCCTTCTTTTTTTTTAAAATCATGCTCTTTTGACCCGATGCGTCCGATACGGGCGATAAATACATGCATCGCATCGCTTAAGCGATGCATCGCATCGGTATCGCTTAAGCGTGTATCGCTAAAACGATGCGATACCGATACAGGGCGATTTATCGCATCGTATCGCATCGTTTCATCGTTGCTCCCACATGAACAGAAGGATTTCCTTCCAGTCAATGATAAAAACAACAGCCTCATCAACTGACCAGAAGGATTTCCTTCTGATCATCAAACTGGAGGAAATCCCCTGGCTCAATGAGGTACACTCATATTGACTGACCAAAAGTATTTCTCCTAACCTCATCAACTGGAAGGAATCCATTCAGGTTGATGAGGCATAACAAATTCATCTACTGGAAGGGATTCCTTCTGGTCAATACAACAACCTCATCAACCAGGGGGGATTTGTTCTGGTCAATGAAGTTGTTATAGCTCATTGACCTGAAGGAAATTGGCTGTAAAGAGTGTATAATCTCAACAGCCAAGAGGGTTTCTCTCTCTCTCAGCCACTGAGTGCACACCTCCATGGCCAAGAGTGTACCTACTGGCTGTTTTGGAACTGCTCAGAAAGGAGTAAAGAGCTTACAGGGGATAAATAATTAATAAAACTGTAAACTAGTAATGTTATTAGATTCACTGCACTCCTTGTCTGACTTGTGGGAGAGTTACACTAAGAAAAATAAGAATGTGGTAGATTTCTGAATTTATCTTTGTGGTGATACTACCTATTGAGAATGTTGATGATTTGTTTTGTCATGGATGGAATGGATGGTAAAGAGTTTCTGGTGATATGAGTTATCAGTTAGTTTTCTGATTTATTCTGATTGAAATTATTCTTTCTGAATCCTCTAATCTGTGAAGACCATATCTGGATCTCTGGTCTAATCTGGTTTATTAATAAAGTGAGTGTTGACTTCTTATATATCCTTTTGATAAGGGTTTGAGGTGTGTTAAATAATATTCTTATTATTCATTCTGGTTTCAATGTAAAGGTGAGAAGTAAAGGGTAAGTAATATCTCTTATTACTTGTTCTGTATCTGGTATGTAAGGGATGATGAAAGCTAAGTAATATATTCAATTACTTTTGTGATAAAAAATAAGTGTTAAAAATTAAATACAAAAAAAAGTGTCCTAATGCGGAAACCACGTGCGCTGTGCAGCTGCAAAACCGTGTCAAAAGGGGGAAAAAGTGGTTTTTTTATTGAGGCCCTTTTTTAAAATCATCTAAAACACAGGTTTTCATAACCCGGTTCCTTAAGAATCCCTGAATTAGATTTTTATTTTTAGGGGCTTGGAAAAACGACTCCCAAATTTTAGTCGACGACTCCCGTTTTGGTCGGGAGGTCGTCGGACGGGAGTCGTTCTTCCAATTCCCGGGAGTCGTCGGCCTAATTCCACAGGCAATTTTTTATTTTTTTTAATTGAAAATTCGGGAGTCGTCCGCCTAAAAGGCGGGAGTCGGCGCCCCAAATTTGATCCTTAATTTTCTTGATTATTTTTTTTTTCCTTGGGAGTCGTCAGGCTAATTTCCCCAGACAGAAAGGGAGTTGATGGCCCAATCGTCCAAACTGACAACTGGGATTTTTTTTTGTCTCGCAGGAGTCATCAACAAATCCCTAGGAGTCGGCTGGGGAGAAGAAACCTTGTTTCTTCTCCCACGCAGGAGTCGCCGCTCCACACCCATATCCACTCCCCCCCACCGACTCTCCACCCAATCAACTACCCAAACCAACCAACCACCCAACCAACCAAACCATGTCCAACCCCACCATCCCCGCTCGCGCCACCGAAGGACGCCGCCTCAGCTCATGAAGGAGTGGAAAGAAAAGGCGTCAGAAGAGGCTTGGGGATGGGAAGCCCAATTTTCTGATTCTTTCGAATTGACTGTAGAGAGGAAAATAGAAAATCCAATGAAACACTACTAGGGTTTTTTTTATCCTGTGTCTTTTTTAGTTTTTGATTTTTTTCCTCTATGTCCTTTTTTACCCTGTTTTTTTTCTTACATTTCTCATCATTTTTGAATGTTTTTGGCCCGTTTGTCATCTCTTTTATCTCTTGCAATGGTTTTTCTCAATCAATCTAATTTTTTTATCATTGATAAAATGCCTTTGGGGTGGGGCCTCAGTGGCTCAACCTTTTTTTGGAGTCTCTGAGGGTGCCATATGGCGACGACTCCCATTTCTAGTTGGACGACTCCCGTCTTTTTTTAATGTAGAAAAAAAAAGGCAAAAAATTTGGCGGAATTGGTGCGACGACTCCCTCATATTAGGTGGACGACTCCCGTCAATTTAAATATAAAAAAGGGGGAAACATTAGGCGGAATTGGTGCACCGACTCCCACACTTTAGGCGGATGACTCCCTATTTTTTTAATAAAAAAATAAAAATTCTCCAGGTAAAATTAGTGCGACGACTCCCTATGTTTTTTCGGGAATTGGAAGAACGACTCCCGTCCGACGACCTCCCGACCAAAACGGGAGTCGTTGACTAAAATTTGGGAGTCGTTTTTCCAAGCCCCTATTTTGATTCTCCATCCAGTTTTACCATGTTTGCACCCAGAATTTTTTTGATTATGTAATTGGAGGGATGCCAAGTTTTTTTCACCCACATATTGCATACATTCAATTTGAAGCTTAGTCAGCACGCACTAGTGCCTCCATGGACAAAAATGGAGACTCCAATAAGGGGTTCACGTTGCACCAAAACCGTTGCTGATGTGGAACAAGGTTTGCTTGCTGATGCACATCATTGGTAAAGTTTCATTGTGGGATCTCTATCAGCAAATTACCAAATTCACCAAACACATCAACCTCAATATCTTGACCACCCCTCAACCAATTTCAACAAAAAAAACATCTAAATACTCAGGAGACCTTTGTGAGCTGCTGAAGGGCATCTTAAATTGGACACATGATGGGTATCTCTGTCACATCCTTGCAAATTATTGAGCACACAACGTGAACAATTATCTCTTGTGTATAGCTTCCATCTCCCTTGATAGACCACAAGCCTCAAGATTTGAACTTTTGAGTCTCTGAGTTTCATTTACTTTGCCCAACGTATGACTAGATTTTAATTACTGGAATACCCACACAAGCTAGAACTGGTTATCCAGGTGAAATGTCCCACTGCCCAGATTGATGTAACACAGCTTTCCTGTAGTCAGGTGATTATTGAAAACTGTGTCCAGGTCTTTATAGATTGGCTCATGGTTGGTAAAGGAAGATATGCGTTCGCACTTCTCGAATTTCCACACGTAAGCTGAGCGTGAAAAAAAAAACCTATATCGCTGACATTTAACTTATCACGAAAGGGGAGTGTGCCTTCTTACCAAGCAGACTAATTTGTGTGAGTGGCGAGACGCTAGCCCGAATTTTATGGTAGGGGATTCATCTTACGGCATCCTACAGTGCTGTCTCACGAGTTCTACGGATGCCGAAGGTGTTGTCATTAAGCAGGATCTTGTCATTTTAAATTTTTAACAGCGGAAACTACTAACTTTCCTCGAAGCGCAGTATCGCTGCTTATGAGGCTGACTCAAAAATACTTTGCAAACCCAGTAGTCCATCGCCTCGAATACCGATTTGACTGCTTGATTCTTGCGATGTTGATTTGGCTCTGCCCGAAACACTCTTAGCTATATGTCCACGCCCACGTGATTTTTTTTTCGACCCCGTGAAAACGTAGGCCATTTCTCCATTTTCGGCCCTGCCAAATTTGCCTCAGCGAATGTTAGTAAAGGCTCAAGTGGGCACCCAGAGCTGCTTCCGCTTTCCTGGCAGTTCGAACCAAAGTTATAAGAGGTTTTTGACTATGTAGCTTGTTCATAATTAATTTCTCGTGTCTGCATTCAATAACACAAGACTAAGTTGAGAGTAAGCGCGATTGGGACGATCTCTTAAGAGCTCTCATAACCCGCTATTCGAAGTGCCTCTAAAAGGTGAAGATGACCTCACATTGACACCCGTTCTTGATGTCAAATCAAAATCTGATCATGATGAGGTTACATAGATGAATTGAGGTGATTGAATAATCAAATCTGAAGCACAAAAGATATTTATATATATATACAAATTCAGATTGGGTGATATCAATTCAACCCAGTTGAAAGATTTCGAGAAAATACAAGATGATTGGAGCAGGGATAATCGGACTTCTTTTTACTTCTTGCCTTTGGCAGCTCGAGCACCTGTCGACGGAGGCGAGGAAGCGGGGGCGGCTCCAGCGCCTGGAGCAGGTGATGGGGATCCGCCGGCGGCGCCTGGAGTGAGTTCGGGAAGGGTGTCGATGAAAGCTTTCAAGAGGTCTTTCATATTCTTTCCTCCCGGAGTTGATCCAGCGGTTGATGGTGTAGGAGCAGGAGCTCCTCCTGGGGGAGGTGCTGCCCGACGAGCCTTCTTAGATGACTTGCCTGCACTCGCACCAGCTCCACTGGCACCAGTCACGGTACCCTCGAGCCTCTTGACAATTCGAAGGAAGAGCTGGGCAGCCCTGGGTGACAACGGCGCCATCTGGCCGGCCTTCTGAGCCTCTTCCACCTTAGCGTACATCTCCAGCGCCTTGGTTTTTCCGACCTTAGTGGTGGTTGGAGGTGCGCCTGGAGTGACTGGCGAATTTAAGAACTCCGTGATCAAATTCTTTAGGTCTGCTGGATCGACTGTGCTTAAAATGTTGACGGCAGCAGCGGTACTACCAGCGGAACCGCCAGCGGGAGGAGCACCGGGAGCAGTAGTAGGAGCAGCACCGGGAGCAGTAGTAGGAGGAGCACCGGGAGCAGTAGTAGGAGGAGCACCGGGAGCAGGAGTAGGAGGAGCACCGGGAGCATCACCGTCACGTTTCTGTAGAATTTCATAGAGAAGTGGTAAGGATCAGTCTTATTGAAATTCTTGGAAGGTGAAATATTGGTATGGCTGGAGAGTGACTTACACGTATCATCCAGTTTTCCTTGATTTCATGATCGAGAGATCGTCTTTGTCGAGGAACCGCGACCGGGTTGAGCGGTAAGAGCACTTGACGACATCAAGGCGCATAATAACAACGTGAAGAACTGCATGATGTTTGAAAAAAAAAAAGTGGGATGGGGGGGGGGGAGGCTGTGTTTCGAGTGGGGTGATGAGGAGTGTTGAAACTTGCGAGAATTGGAAGATGTGATTGGTTATTGGAGATGTGTATACTACAATTTATTTAACACAGACTGATGATGATGAAGCTGAAGATGATTTGATACAAGGTGTGTGGTGAGGAGAAAGAAAGATGGGAGCAAGACGACGCGCTCTTATAGGAAACACAAGCCTGCAGTCGACTCTCAAAGAAAGGTAGACGACCGGCTAGAGAGCTTTGAGATGGGCGAAGGCTCACTGCGACAGATTCCTGAAGTTGTGGATGCCTCGTCCAGTCTAACTGCCCCGCTGCCAAGCCCATCATTAATTTTCCTGAGGAAAAAAAAAACGCTACTGCATATGCACGTAGTCATAACCTGCTAGCCACTGGACACGCATGGCGGTGACGAAGAGAGATAACCGAAAAACAAGCACGGTAGAATCCTGGAGGCTATAATCTAGTCATAAGCTGTTCTTCCACTGGACAATAACCATGGCGGTTACGAAGAGAGATGACCGGCAAACAGATACCGTAGCATCCTGAAGATTATCTCGAGCGCTTTGCTCTTGGCAAGGCATTTCTTCAGGGAGCTCCACTAGGTGGATGATACCGCTTTGAGGTGCCCGAGGAGAGCTTCGAGGGGAATGCACTGATGCAATCTAATTCGGGAGAGGGGACACCGTACGTTAGTGATACACTGGTGCTCTAATTGCATTAGACGAAAATGGTGACCTAATCCAATCGGCAAAGGCTCACCTTCAACCGGAACCTTTGTGACTTTCAGGCACCCGGCGAGCCACCACGACTCACGAGCACATAAATACATGATTTTCATGGACCTTTCGGGTTTAGATGCCCAGACCTTTTGTCGGGGTTTCTCAGCCAACGTGCTATTATTTACACCAATGTCAAAATTGACATTTGTTGTGAGGACCTGATTAGTCCAGGTGAACCGACACAACAAGAAAGACGACAACACATCACGTGTTGATTGATTTGACACGACTTCTTTCATATCAGGGGGTTAATTTTCGTCTCGATTACATTACGAGGAATACTTCATAATTCTGTATTGGATAAACTGTTTATAAAATACATACTTAAATAATTCTAACCGAAGAGAGGATAAAAAAAAATGAGAGATGATGGTAGTCTTGATGTAAGTATGGATATGATGATGATAGCATACACGTGATAAAAAAGTAATAAGAATGACTAGGAGAGAAAAACCAGCAGGAAGTGTGGAATAGCAAAGAGCTGGAAAGATCAATATAGAAGGAGATATGTTATAATGGATGGTTCAATGACTATATAGCATATCAGAAAACGTGAAACAGCCCAGGACAAGAGTTGTCCCGTTTTCTTCAAGATGACTCGCCTTGATTTTTGTTGCTCAACTATCAACTAAACAATGGAAAAAAGTCCAAGCAAGAGAACTCCAGACGCAACCAGAGAAAGAGAGAAACAACCACAGCAAACAAACAGTATAAGGGAGACAAAAGAGAGAGAGAGAGTCCAAGAAGAGAGGAGTCGCGGCTTAATCGGAGGAATTTTTAGCCCATTTGAGCAGATGATGAGCGAGTCCGACACGAGGGAGCTGTTGGGAGGAAGAGGAGCCGAGGAGGACGAGGTCGATCTGGGAGAGGAAGGGCACCAGCTTGACCAGCTCATAGCGCTTGCCCAAGATCACCGAGCTCTTCTTCTTCTGGCCCAGCGCGACGGCCTTTGAGTTGAGGACTTCGAGCGGTAGGATGAGTTCTAATCTTTGTAATCTCTCCCATGCCTAATTTTTTTTTTTTTTTTTTTGAAGAACAAAGGAATGAAGATCAGTAAGCGGTTATGTTTGAGATCAAAAAAAAAAAGAAGGGAGAAGATCGAAACCCAACTAATTCGAAAGCGTCTCTACCATAGACTTGCGAGCGAACGACGGCGGGTCTGAACTGGTCTTTAGCTCGGACATCGGAGGAAAGGGGCTCAGCGTCGAGAGCGAAGGAGAGCCGTTTGAGATGTTGGCGGTAAAGGTCCCAAGCCATCTCGAGGTTGAAGATCCCATTATGGTGGGTCGAGGAGAGGTGTTTGCAGGCGATGAGGACGGAGAATTCGGCGATGCTCAGCGCGTCCGCCCACCATGGCAACGTCGTCGAGATCAGCGTCGAGCTCCGCATCACCTTCGGCTTCGTAGGCCCTGTCCCGCCACCCACCGGCCGCGTAGGGAATAACTCGCTCGGGTTCAACGCCGGTAACTTCAGCTGCCCCGTCCGCTTCGCTTGGTACGCTATCATCGACACCATTCCGTTCTAGATTTTTCATCCCTTGGTCAGCTTCTTGTAGATTGATGTGTCCCGATCATAAAATTTGAAGAAGCAACATACCAAGTCTTGTAAGATTTGGACCAATGGATCATTGATCAACATGAATTTGGATCGGAGCCAGTCGCGCGTATGAGCATGGTCCAAGAACGCCCCGAGACTGTCGTTCCACTTCTGCACGAAAGTCTTCCGTTTCTGATCCACACTCTTAGTAGGAGAAGAGGCAGAGGAAGCTTCGGGAAGATGGTCGCCGGGAAGTTCGAGCAGGGATCTGAGGAGATCGATGCGTTCGGGCTCGGTCTTTGGAGAATGTAAGTAGCGAATCCGCGATTGACATCGCGACTTGACCCGTTTCTCGAGCTTATCCAAACAATCCTACAAGATATCGACCACACAATTAATCATTGACTCCGTTGGGTATAAAGAAAGATAAACTCCAGGGTCAATGGGACTTACAACAACTGAAGTAGTCCCGATCACGCAGATCCCATTCTGTCGTTTATTGCCTTGGACAGAGTCCAACAAGCAATATAGGAAAGACTGGCGATCTAGGTCGGAGAAGAGGTCGAATTCTTCCAGAATGATGACCAAGGCCTTGTTATTCTGCGGCTTCTTCTGATGAGATTGGCGAGCAAGGATTGGATCATGTTCAATGGAGAGAGAAGACGAGGGCTCGAGGACGTCCAACAAGTTCTTCAAGGTTTCCCCGTAGTTGGTGAACCTAGGTTGGTTGACCACGGCCGCCCGGCGAGCACTGTCCGCGACCTCGTCTTCATCCTCTTCTTCATCCTCATCAGCGCTGTCGTCGGGTTGGAAGTCCAGATCCCGATTAACTTGGTCCAATTTCCGGCTCTGATCGGAATCTTTGGATAGCGCCAAAGACGAAAATAGCTGGCGACACATCTCCTTCAAGGCGACCTTGTCGCTGTTGTGGACTAGCCCATTCAGCTTGATCGTGATAAAGCCTTCCGATCCGCAAATGAGGGGATCAGATAGCAACGATAGCGAGCGAGAAATGAGCTGTTGGAAAATAAGAAGATTAAGTATGACGCCAAAAAAAAGAGAAAAAAAAAATCTGTGAAGATGAGAAAGACTCACTGCAGTTTTCCCGCTTCCCCTAGCTCCAGACAACAACAGAACATTCTCTTCTTGTTGGGAGACAGACCGAAAGAGAATCGAGCGCAGTTCGATTTCCAAGTCTTCGAGTCCGACGAGACAGGGCGTCTGGTCGAGGATGGTAGGGATCCGGGAAGGATCGTGTTTGTGAGGGTCGGAGAGGCTTGAGGCAAGTGCTTGGGGAATACGGATCGACAGAGGCCTTACTCCGGACAGGTGCTGGAGTAAGTCGTGTAAATAAGGAGTGACGACGGACGAGGGGAATCCGTCCTTGTCGACGACCGTCTTGGCTGGTGAAGCGACGGTCTTGGGCGCGGCCACAGGTTCCTTGGCCAAGGCTTTGTCTGGACTGGAGGCCTTCGCAGGACGCTTGGTGTGGTGGGTCAAGCGACGAAGCCTTGTGGTCGTTCCAGCCGAGATTTCTAGTGGAGAAACCGAGGACAACCTCCGAGGGGACCGGTTGGAAGAAGGAATCAACTGTTGATTGAGTTCTTTTGCCACTTGGTCATCGTCAGTTTCGCTAGCCTGAGAGTCTTCATTGTCAGACTGATCGCTCCTTTCAGCAAGCTGTGCATCTTCCAGCACTTTAAAGCATCGCTCATCAACTCCAGAGACGAGGTCGTCTTCCTTCGCTTCAACCGAGCCATCTGGCGCTCTTTGTTTTTGGAAGGAAGCCTGATTTAACAGGATGGGCGAGTCCTTTGGAATCATGCTTTCTATCTGCCTCAGCAGCTCGTCGACGTTCTCAGAATCGGGCATGATTGTAGGGTCGATTGCTGAAGGGCCTGCCCGACGCGGGCTTGTGCGAGGTGGGTTCGGCGTATGGGGCTGGACGCGCGTCTTGAAGAGCTTGGCTTTTAAGGGAGAGGTTGCGGTGAGGGTAGCCTGGCCGTCGGAGTCGTCGCCATCACTCTCGGGGCCGAGAAGCTGGACGTGTCCTGAATTCTTGGTCAGTCGGTTGGTCGGTGATCGATGGGAAGAGGGGCTGGGCGAAAGAGGCCGTTGGCGAGGTCGGCCGCGTGTTTTTAGAGAAGTTGGATCTTTGACCGAGTGGTCAGTCAAGGCGCGATTGACGGGTGCCGTTTGGTGAACACTTTTCTTTGACCTGAGTTTGACGGGTGTTGATTCACATCCTGCCTGCCTTTGATCAGCTTGTCTAGTCAGACTCCTGGTTTTTGCTCGGGAACGGACCGGGGAGTCGTTGTGAGATGAGGTGGGACTGGGGGGTAGCTGAAGCGGCTTGGTCTTTGGCTCTGGTTTGGTGTGGGTTGATGGCTTGAGCAAGATCTCATCCTCTGAGCTCTCAGCTTCTAGATCTGGAGGGTTGATCGGACTAGTTGGAGCAGGGGTCAATGGACCAGATTGGCGCGTCTTCTTCCGCAGGCGGGGGATGATCTCAGGCTGTTGATCTGAATCGAATCGACCCAATGGCTCGGGGCAGTTTCGTTTACGAGACGGCATTTTCAGGTTCGGTGCTGACGTGGAAGCAGACAGTGTTTGGCTTTTCTTCTTGGTCAGGGTATTGCTTCTTGAGGGACGTGGGATGACGACTGCGACGCGTTGGGTGGTAGGTAAGCTGCGAACGGGACGCGTCTTGAGAGACAGGTCGGTTGGAGGTGCTGGTTTGTTCTTCCGACGCCGAGGAGATATACGATTCGGAGAGGAGGTGAGTGAGCCTGGTCGGTGGTGGTGGTGGAGTGTGGCTGGTTCTGGCATGATATCTTTGGGTTGGTTGGTTGGTTGGTTGAGGTTGAGGTTGAGGTTGAAGGTGGTCATGCGTCATGCCAATGGCCAGGCCAACAAGTCAGCTTGGCGCAGCAGGTATGCGTCTCCGCAGCCAGTCGATCTGCGCATCATCCATGCAGCTATTTACTCAGCCAAATTCAATTATGTGGTGTTTTCAAGATGGTTGATCCTGGTTGATCACCCAAGTTTTCTAGCATCTCTAACAAGAGCAATGTAAATGATTAATTGCCAAATAATCTAGACAAAATTAAACATGATTGGATTCTTGAGCCATGTCAATGGAGGACTTCCCGTGGGTTTTACAGGCCTTGTAAAGCTAGATTTACAGGCTGTAAAGCTAATTTTTCGCTGGGGAAACAGTTTCACGAGCTTGTAAAAATAGCTTTACAGGGGGCTGTAAATTCGACGGGGAGTCCTCCAATATTTAGTAGCTTTATAATCAGGTCAGGACTCAGAATGAAGGCATTTTGAGTGGATCACTGCTTCTGTAGGCTGTAGCTTTGATTTCCTTGGTGCAGATTTCTAGCCATATAGTGCTGAAGGAAAGCAGAAGACACTTGTCTCCCAGTGCGCATGTGCGGAGCTGCAGTCCGTCCCGAGCATTCTTCTTTCAGTCTCCTTCCCCCCCGCGCCAGCAGCGATCTGGGTGCAGGGGCAGTAACAGATTCCCTGACAGTTATGACCCCACTTCACTACAAGAAGCTCACAAGGAGAAAGCCGGTGGAGCACGCAGTGGATCAATTCCCGTTAATGATGAAGAAGATTGGTGGCACCCCAAAGAGGTATATAGTCAGGATGCAGACTCTAACTTAACTAGTCCCTCCTTATAGAGGGGGGACGCCGTCCCGCAGGGACCCTCCGAAGGAGGGACTTATGCGCCAAGTCGACCTCGCGGGCTGAGGGCATTAGGAAAATCGGACATTTTTTTCTATTGCGTTTGGTGTCATAATTGCTTCACTGAACACTAGAAAGTTGCCCACCAAACGGAGGGGCTGATGCAGGAGATTCAATCGCTCTCCTGCATTGATTTGAGAGGTCGATCATTGCTTGGGAAAGCGTCGTTTTGATCAATCCAAGGCTCTGGAGGGTTTTTGAGAAAGATCTTGTACAGCCGCCTCATCTAACGTACCGCATCGAATACTGTCAATGGGGTCCAGGTTAATCACATAATAACACTTGTGATATAATGGTGGTACACCAAGTGATAAGTGATACACCGATAACATGAGCTTACTAGGACAACGCCAAAAAATCTAGCCTAGACCAGACAATCTTTCAACGACACCGACCTGAATCATTGACACCGACCTGAATCATCGACCAACCTGAATCATTGACACTGACCTGAATCAGCAACACCGACCGGAATCTATGGAACACGTCCGGGTAATCTCGGTCCAACGCAAGGCCAATCAAGTGCCCGAACCTCTGTTGTTAATGAATGACGACTCACTGGCCAATCACATCACTACACGGTCAATTGAATTGTATGAAGACCAGCCTAAAGATCTTCAAGTGAAAGCGGTTTCCTCGCTGGTTCGGGGGAAACATACATTTGTTCGGGTGGGGACTGGATATGGGAAAACAAGAATCTCGGAAATGTACTTTGGGCTGTTCGAGCAGAAGGTCGTGGTCCTAGTTTTGAATCCCTTGGATTCTTTAGGTGATGACCAGGTATAATGGACTTGTACATGATCTGGGCAGAGTGGTTGCTGATTTGTTGGTTTTCTGTTAACCTAGGTTCGCGAAAAGAAGCTGTTGAACATAACAGCAATAAATCTTAACAAGATGACGTTGAACTATGACACGGTCCAAAAGATCAAGAAGGGTGTATTTAGTTTTGTTTACCTGGTTAGTTTAATTGTACCATCCTTTTTTTCTACAGGTGGGATGTTGACTCTTCCGACTGGCATCAGAGCCCGGAGGTATTTCTCAACAGCTCGCTTTTCACCGAGCTTTTCTTCAGTGAGGAGTTTCAAGATATCCTGTCGTTGGTCGTGGTGGACGAGGCCCACATGATCTACCTGTGGGGTCTTGTTGCATCAAAACAAAGCAAGTCGTTAATCATATTTGCTAGACTAGAAGATCAAGCGGTGTTCAGGCCAGGTTACGGACACTTAGGCACACGGATCATGGCGACAAACAATATTCCTGTGCTCCTCCTCTCTGCAACCTGCCAACCGGTGGCTGTCTCAGCAATCACGACTAGTTTAATGCTTCAGCCTAGCGACATCAACATGATAGATGGGGAACTCACAAGGCCGGAAATTCGTCTGGTTCGGGTCACAATGCAGTCAACCCTAAGCTCCTGTGATGATCTACTAAGGATTTTTGCGCCAAACAACTTGATCTCGGCTGGTGATTCGGTCCCAATGATAATCTACTCCGGGACACGGAACCGGACTTTCCAGGTAATGAAAGTTGTCAATGAAGCACGCAATACCCCAAAACACGAGTACGACCCACACGATGGTTTCATTCGTCGTTACCATTCAGTCACAAGCGATGAGGACAAGCTTCGAGTAATGGATGACTTTGGATGTGGCAAGGTGCCCGTGATATCAGCTACTATGGCCTTGGGCCTTGGGCAAAATCTCAAGCGAGTTCGATGTGTGGTACACATGGGTCGGGGAGACCCGGCGGCCATTGGGCAGATGGTTGGAAGGTGTGGTAGGGACGGAAATGTTGGCTTAGGTCTATTGTTCATGGAGCCGACACGGAAGAATGGCCGGAATGCTTTCAGCGATTTCGAAGTGGGAATGGACCAAAACGACGACGCACGTATGGACGCATTGGCCGTGACAACAGTGTGCTTGCGAATTGCCCTCAACTTGGATAACAAGTATGTTTGTAAACTTGGCTGTACACAGATGTTATGTCATGTTGACCTGTGTTTTGTTCCTTAGGTTTGGTTACATCCCCCTAGACCCAAAAGACCCAAGGGTCATTGAAGAGCGGGCGCGCGAGGAAGGTCTAGGGTTTTCGAAGTGCTTGTGCTCAAGCTGTGCTCCTAATGAAGCCAATGCACTGATGAGTGTCATTCAGCAAATGACCCGGTCAAACTTTGATTCTCTGCTCCAGGACCCTACATCTGTCGAAAAGGATCCATGCTTTGTCCGGATGACCCGAAAGAGGAAGAGCCATGGCGTCAAGGGTACTTGTAGCTATCCAAATCACGTTGCTGAGGACCTCGAGCAACATTTGATTCATACTTTCGAAGGCTTTTATTTCGATTTCCTGGGGCCAAGGGCTGAGTTCCCACCATCGGTTTTCTTTGGGGTGACAGAGGCCAGGGCAATAGTTGGGGCGATTGATCAGGTTCGGGACGGCAATACCCACAACACATCCCTTTTGGAGAGGCTGATTGGAGGGCAATCTTTCGAAGGCCAGATTGAGGTCCTTGACTCAGCCATCAGCAGCTGGATGGATGGCGAGTACTTTCAACATCACCAACTCACATTGTCTAATCTGGATCGGTTTATCGAGGCCGAGGGGATCCGAATTAGGGAAATGATGGCAGCCGAGCTTTTGGTGATGCAAGCAGCCGCAGCTTCCAGGAGGCAAGACGATCAAGATTCAAAGAAAGCCAAACGGGCCGAACAGGCGGTTCTAGCTGCAGCTGCCCGGACTGCGGCCAGGCTACTGAAGGCATCGGACCTAGCGGTTGAGAAGGCACGGCTACAGAGCGAGAAGGCAGCTGAGAAGGCCTGTAGGGAAGAAGAGAGGCTTGCTAGGAAAAAACACGAGGCTCAAGAACGCGCGGCAACGAAGGCGGCCAACAAGGCACTAGCAGCGGCAGAGAAGTCCAATAAAGAAGAAATCAAGAGCGCGGCTAGGAAGCGGTTACCACAGGATCGGGCATTGAAGAAGGCCGCAAAGCAAGACATTTTGGCACGGAATATGGCTCAGAGGAGGGGCGGTAACACAATTGACAAGGGAGGGAGGGGTAGCATGATTTGCGAGAATGAAAACATCACTGAAAATCCGGCTGAAACACAAGTGCAAGAGGGCAAGGACATTGAGGTGGATTTGGATGGCAATTGTTCACGGATGGACGATCGGGATAGAAGGATTGGGAATACTGAAACGATCCGCTTGTGTAACAAGGTGTCAATTGCCGAGGAGAAACGCATGCGGGGGGTGACACGCACAGGAGGGCACCAGGTTGGGGAAAGAACACGGAAGAATGTCAATCAGCCAAACATCGGAAGGATCTTGCGAGCTCGCCAAAAACCGTCCACCATTGATGTTATGCGATCACAAATGGCCAGGGGAGAACAGCCTGTGAAAAACTCACCTGATCATATGGACTTGGGGCCAATGGATTCTGAGTCTGATGAGTTCTCGCTGCCTTCGTGATGCTCAAGCTCAGTAGTTAGTGTTGGTGTCTGCTGGCTTGAATTGATCTGTTCATCCTGGTTGTACATACTCATGATGCCTTGCGAATATGGCCGAAACCGATCAAGTCCGCTCAGCCCAAATTCCTTCCTCAACTTTGCCATTCCGCCAGCATAACAGTCGTCAATCGGATCAGGAGCCCTACCTGCTATTGGGGTTTGCCCCAGACGCTCCCGCTGGGCCATGCGGCGGAAATTGTTGAATGAGTCAACGGTTAATTTGTTTTTGTGTGACTGGTGAACCACTTCAGCCCCAGATTCCAGTTTGATGAGTTGTAGCATGTAACGGAGCTGATGATAGAATAGTCAGACACCTCAAGCAATAAAGATTCAATGTTATAGCCCTATTTGACTTACCAGATTAATATTACTTGAAAAAATCTCTTTCAACCTCTCAATATCTGTGCCAATTCCTGAGTGATTGAAAAAGTATTTTAACCAATAATTTTGCACCTCCAGATAGAAGTCCGTTGCCACAAAGTGTCCCGGTTTTCCCGTAGGCGACATTAGCAAGGTATTCATCACCAAGTCCGATAAGGATTTGGGTAAGATGTACTTGATCAAGATGATTAGCTTTGGTAGATGTTTTGAGTAGTGGGGCATTCCCCCAATCCCCTGGCTCATCACTGCCCAGCGTTGCCACATGAACATCAGCCGGCCGTAATCTCCGTCTTTCATGGCTCGATTGGCCTCCACTATTGTCCCAAAGTCTCGGATGCGGAGTAATAAATTCTTGTGCCCTGAGTAGTTGGATGCTAGCTCTGTCTGCAGCGCGGCGCCTGAGCAAAAGCGGTCAAAAGTGAGCTCAACCCAATCATGAATGCTCTCTGTAGAAACCTTTAGCCGTTTGCCAGACCATGGCTCATGAGCACGGTTTGCAACCAGTCTAGAAAAAAGATACATGAACACACGTGAAGTCAGCAACATTAGCAATTTGAGACCATAAGCATATTGCATACTTACAGCACACAGTACAACAATGTTGCCTCGTGAATCTTTTCAATGTGACACAGCATGAGGTTGAAATCCTTTTTGGTCACTGGCTTTTCTGCTGGTATCCCCAGTGCGTGAAGCGTCCTCCATGCGCCAGTGTCCCGGGCTAGTTTCTCATTCCCCCAATGAGCCAGATAAATTGCTTGGGACAGGTTCCATAGTGTGTGAGCTGCGCCGGGGATGGGCAGGATATTATCAAGACTGTTGTGATTGCCCAAAGCTGGGGTCCTCTGCTTGCGAAGGCTATCAAAAATGTTACAAGACCCCAGGTCCCCCTCAACAATCTGTAATCGGGAGTGGAATTCAGCCGGCGTGAGCCCACTCTGCTGGATGACACCTGTGAAGACCTCGCCAACGCCCAGGGCCGAGTTGTCCGACGCAACCATTAGTTTGAGCATTGTGATGTTGGGATCATCCGGCGCAATAGGATTGACCTCCAGAGGCTTCACCAGTAGGTCTACCCTTTTATCGGTGGGGGTGGCAAAGTACTTCAGGATCACCCGAGTGATCTGGGATTTGATTGTTGTCTCGAAGTGAATTGTACTCTCCGCCGTGGGGGTAAACATGTCGGGCCGAATTTTCAAATCTTTCCCGATGTGTAAGGCCTTGTTCAAAGCCTCAACAGTGAGTTCGGCTGGATCCAGATGTGATTGGAGTGAGCGGGGAATGGTGTGGACATATCCCCAGGTCCCATGAAACATCTTGCTAGAATGGCCAATGGATTTCATGTGTACCTTCTCCTGAAAATCGAGATTATCATAGCATAATAGCGGCGCCACCAACGGGGAATCACCCATCTTGTAGATTGCTTCAAGTTTTGATTTCGCCTCTGACCCCAGACTCCTCAGGGCTGCATGAGCAGTCCTCCGAGAGGAGCTGATGCCTATGTAATTGAGGTAAGCACTTACACGCTCGGTCACCCCCCCTGCCAAGAACAGCAGCGCATTGCTCAGCTGAAAGCCATTATGCCGGCGATTCCCTCCAAATGCCACCATGGCACATATGGTGCGGGCCATCTGGGAGATAGATCACCCATGAAGGGCAGGTCAGTAAGGGGCAGACATAAGAATTCTAAAGATTGGACTAACCGTCTTCACCCGATTAGCCCGTCTGATCCCTCTGTCGTTGCTCTTCTTCAAGACCGACCCATCATAGTCAACCAGCCCGTCCGAGGGATCATCTACCCCTTCGTCATCTGAATTGTCCTCAACAGGATCCGCCGGAGAATCTGCGGCCCCGCCAGTGGTTGTATAGGGCCGATCGCCTTGAATCTTTGCGCAGAGTAGTTGATAGAGAAAAGGCATCCGATCCGTGAGCAAATCATTGCGAGCCTCTCGTTCTTCCGTGGTGAAGAACACATCAGACAAGGTTGCCGAAGTGTGATATGAGCCTTTTGGTGCCAGCCCGCTGACTGGCTTTTGTGCAGAAACAATATCGATTGCCTGTTCAAACAAGACCAAGCTCAGCACTTTCCATACAGTGAAAATACCAGGTAATTTGTCAACCTCACCTGCATCAAGATGAACCGTTCCCAATGGCCACGGCCATCTAGGTGAGAGCAAGCGAGTTTTCGGATTGTGAGCAACAGATTCTCTGTTGAGTCCCAACCTTGGTCAGTGCCCCATAAGCGTCGTCTGTAGGCCATGCTGTATTGGTCCTGCTCAAGGAAAGCTACCAAGAAAGACTTCGGTGTGAGGTTCAACTCTTCTATCAAGGCGCAAATCTTGTCAAGTTTCTCATTCATCGACACCCGAGGAGCCCTGCCGGCGGGAGTGGTTTCTTCGGTTGAGTTCATAGCAGATCCTGATAGATGTCTTGATCGAATCGGATGGTCATTCACGTTGGGTCTCTCAAATTCTAGAATCCTGACCAACATCTTTTCTCGAGTGATATGGACTGTCATCCACTCATAACACGTTATAGGAATCATGGGGTAAAGTTACTATGTCTTAAGGAGTCATGGGTTCCTCCAATTGATTCTACATCATATCGGGTTTCATTCAAGTACAGCTCGCTAGCGTCGAAGACGCTGGAAATTCACCTGAATCCATAATCCATATTCCATGAGCACAACGACTTGGACCCATCGATTGCTTGAAAAGCTGATGGGTTGGGCACCCTAGGAGTAGATATAAATGTAGAGACCGGCTAGGCGGTTACGAAAGTGAAAACGATATTAAAATTCCATCGTAGAGGAATGTGTGAGAGACATTTTGAAAGTTTGCCTGCCAAATTTCCTAATGCCCTCAGCCCGCGAGGTCGACTTGGCGCATAAGTCCCTCCTTCGGAGGGTCCCTGCGGGACGGCGTCCCCCCTCTATAAGGAGGGACTAGTTAAGTTAGATGCAGACTGTAAGTTGGTTTGATTGAAACTTGAAGACAAACAGATAACAAACACAAGTGACTGAGCCTAAGCAAGGACCTCTATCAAGCCCGAATATTTGTGTCACCATGGTACATATGTAGCTGCCACCCTCACGTGACACATGTGATTCAACACCGTAGTTTGATTTTTGGATGTTGATTCATCTTCCAACTTCCTTCCTTTCGAACCGTACCAATTTTGTCACCGTAATAAAAAAGTTTCCTTTAAGATAGAGGTGTGAGCTAACTTATGTTTCATGATGAGCCGGGACTGACCAAGCGCAAACTGGACCAATCATCCAAAGTTCAAACCACTCATATTAATACAATTATTGGTGATTTGTGCGGAAAAGTTGAAAACCATCAGTCAGCCACTGTACGGCCAATACCACATTTACATCGAATGGTTCTGGTGCTGAAGGGTGATGATACGAGATAATACATACCTGACTCCAGGTTTGAGGATAGCTGACCCCGCGGGTATCGGAAACATTGTTCTCTCCTCTAAGAAAAGAAGCTGATTCCGCCCTGCTTGATAGCCCTACCGTCTTGTACGACGCCAAGATGCATGTTTTGCAGACAAGTTAAATACTGAGGGTAACGCCCGGCGGATAGTTAAACCCCTCATTGCCCCAACTTCTCTCTAGCAGCCTTGGTCATCTTTCACAAATCCACAACTTCCTCCGAATCATACTCGGTTTAGAATGATTCCTAGGCTCTTTCTGGTTTGGCTACTTGCGCTTCCCCAGATTTTTGTCTATGAAGTCACTGGATCCTTTGATCCTGGTTACTCCCGATTGCCCAAGCATTTCTCAGATGTGGGAGAATCAGCAGGTATAACAGGTGTGTTCGATGACAGCTACAGGCGAGGACTCTTCGAAATAACCTCAATCCTTTGATTGAGATAAGCCTACTGACATTCGAAAACAACAACAACTATCTAATATCCCTTCTTGAGAAAAAACACCTTCCCGAAAGGGGTTATTGAATTATGTTAAAAAAAATCTTGGACTCGCACCTACACAGAAAGATAAAGCGAAGGAAGTGGAAGCCATGCAGAAGGAAGCCATGAAAAAAGAAAAACCCCTGACCCCCGATCAAAAGGAAGAGTTACGTGCATGGATCGAAACCATTGTTTGTCAGTGAGATTTCAATTCTATTGAACATTTAAAAAGTCCTCGTGAACTTGGCTAGCGCTGAACCAATTTTTGATCTCGTCATTTTGGAATTCATGGAACCAATCACTCACCTGCAGTTACAGAAGGAATGATTGATCATTGGCTCCATGGTAGTGAGTTTTCATGATACAATTACCTCAATTGTCAAGTTATCGAATATTAGTGAATAACTCTCAACCTCTCGGTCTTCTTAAATCTCTGGAACCTCTACACAACAGCGATGGAACACCCCGAATTCATGAACAGTTACCTTACAAACCACGTAACACTAAATTCACTTCGGCGAGAATATCAAGCTGAAGCCGCTTCCCTAAATGCCGTTCCGAACGAATTCCACGACCCCACGAATTTGAGCCTCCCGCTGCTGGAGGCAATCCAGAACACTGTGGAAGAAATGAAAGGTCTAAAGGGAGGAAATGATCGAGACATAGCAAAGATTGCCCTCTATGCCCGAGCTCTTGCTGAAATAACTCCGAATTCCCCAATCACCAGCTTAACACCTTTGCACTATACTGTCAAGGCGCTTGTTCGGCACAGATGGGCCGAGCTTATTTGTGGAATGGATTATCGAAGTGCGACCATCTTAGAGGGTCTGAACAAACTGTGGGATGTGCCTGGGGGTAGGTAAAAACTTGTCTCTGTCTCTAAGAGACCCCTCAGCCCACTGAAATCCTCCAGATAGCTATCCTATGAACCCTTTTGATAGACATGATACAAAATATTCTTAGACCCATTCATTCATCATCTGTGGCTCTCCTATTTCTAATCATCTATTTGGGTCTCTTTGAACCTTGATGACCATTTTGTTTCCTAAGAGCAGCCATCCACTCCCTAGTCCCAAAAAAATTTGAATCATATTGTTGAAAATAACAAACACACAAAAATCATTTCTACAAAAACTTGTTTCACACTGATATGGTCAACTGGGATGATGGTTGTTGAAGGATTGATTAGCACAAGATGATATGAGGAAAAGGGACAACTAAATGAGAAGATGATGATGGTGATGAAGAAAAAAAAAACACTTGGGATGATGGTTGTGAAAGGATGACGAAGGAATCCTTACACATCATCATCCCAGATATAAATCCACATGTGTGACATAAGAGTTGAAATTGACAAAGCACAGACAGAGGAAAAGGAAATAAAATGAGAGATGGAGATACAACACACACAAATTTTATCTTGCCTGAATGAGACAGAGGGTAACTAAATTGAAATGCAGAAGACATAAAATAGACACATCTAATGATAAGGTACAAACTGAGAATCAGGTCTGGATCACAAAGAAAGATTTGTGCTTTGCTACAACCAGATGGTCTGTAAATTGGAAGCTTGTATCTTGTCTTGAGGAGGAATTTCACAAGGGCTGCAATATATGTCTTATTCTGAAAGTTACAGAAGATTGAGAAAATTTTACAAGTGTAAAGTGAAAGATTTTGGAACTGAAGCAGGTTTCATTTCTTTATAAGCATCAACTCTTTTTTAAATAGATACAATTGATAATATGACAAAAGGAAATCAGAGCAGTACCTGAAGGCAGTACTGATCTGATAGTCTTAGAGATAATACTTAATAATAGAAAATGCCTTTGAATAGAATATTTTATTAATCAGATGATGATAATTAAAGCGGCTGAATAAATTATCAAAAGATCATTCCAATATTAGTCTTTCTCTTAAAGTATATTATTTCCTTAGTGCAAAAATTAATGAAGATACATTACTTTGAATGATAAGAGTATATTTCTTGTTTAAGTAACGGTTAATTAATCCTGTCTGTTTGATGAATCTAATGTAAGATCATCTACGATAGACTGGTTAGTTACTTTTCTCTTTTTCTATGATAAGAAAAAAGCCATTAATTCTCCTCTCTTTACTCACCGACTAACGGTGGAAAGATTTGAGTGATGAGTTTACGTTTGATAGGCTTGTGCAAGTAGAAGCTAAATGTTGAGGTACTCACATTCAGTCTAGACCTCATTATTCATTATTACTATGCTTCATACATGTCACATACATTTCACTGTCATTTCACATATGTTGTAGTACACCTGAGACAGCGGTCGTGGAAGAACTCTTTCCTCATCCTTCCACAAACCGTTCCACTCACCCACATCGTGTCCGCTGCTCTCAGGTGTGTTTTCATTCTGTTTTCTTCTTTCTTTCTTTTCTTTTCTCTTTTCTTTTGTTTTCCTCTTTCTTTCTTCTGAAGTGTGAAATGATAAACATCCTTCCACGAACCGCTCCACTCACCTACATCGTGTCCGCTGCTCTCAGCTCTGTTTCGCTTATCACTAAAGATTTTAATAATGATTTTTCCAAACAAAGAATTAGAACTTGATTGCTATCTTGTTCTTATTCTTGTTCTTTTTTATTCAACTCATTGAGACTCACCTAGAGCTCGATGATCAATCATGATCAATATTTTTCTCTTTGCTAGTGACATCATTGACGTCACTACTCAATGTATAAGCTATGATTGTGCCTTTCTCTTGTTCAACCACTGAACAGCCTATTTCTGCTGATAATCTCACGTTTTGTGATCAGCTGTCAGCCGCCGTGATGCCAAGGTATCCCTTCTAGCTACACGTGGTGCAAAAATTAAGATGTTAGAGTTTGAACTCTGGGACTAAAGAGTATGGGTGGTAATTACAAGGTTTATAAATAGTAGATATGATTAATTATACTAATAATTATTGATATAATTTAAACAGAGGGGCCTGATAAATCAGGGTTTGTTTAATCCCTCAAAGGTATCGTGCAAAAGAAGAGGATTTAGGTACCTGTTAACATTGGGGCCTGTGAACAGGTGTGGTTTAAATCTCAGAATAAAGTGGTGAGAATCTCAAGAAAGAAGGGAGCATAAATATGTACTAGTAATGTCCCTTAAGTATTGATGTTCTGATATACAGAGAATTAAAGCAAGAAAAAATACATTACCAGACAGATACAAATGTTAAGCATTTGGGACAGTGGGTAATCTAAAGTGGGTTGTTATAATCTGAGGAATCTGGTTTTGGGTGGACAGAGAGCTCTTTATGTACCCGTGGAGGCATCTGGGAGATTAGGGTCAACTTGTGGGCGCTTCATGCATGGAGGCTGAAACATGTGACCATATCCTTGGAAATGTGCCACAGGTGTTCTGTAGAAGATGAAATCTGAAAGATGTGGCTATTTCCTTGGAAATGTGCCACACACGTGTTATCAATATACAAATGTATGTTTGAAACATCAAATCAGTTTCAAGTCTTAGACCTGTGTATTAGCATATTTAATTATAAACATAAGCATATTTCATTTCCTGCTTGGAGGTACACCCTATATCTTTAATTTAGATTTGCTGCATGAAGTAGTTGAAATATTGGGTACCTGTGAGTGAGGTACCCTAGGTTATTCTTCATATAGATTAAGAATATTGAGAAATAATGCCCTTATTATTTTGATCTTCTCATTTATTTTCAGTACTATTCCTCTGAAAACATCTCCGGTGAGTAATAATGTCTTTTTTGTATTTTATATTATGTTTGTGTACTATGACAGATTGTCTCTGCTATAGTAGCAAGCTGAAATCAGTGCAAAGAAATCATTTCTCTCTTCAGGAAGTTTATCAATCATGTAATAAACTCACCTGATGCTCTCCTCTTTTGAGGGACAAGACAAGGAATTGAATTCCAACATAAAGCGGCTCCTAGAAACAAAGAAACTTGCATCTCCAAGCAAGCTGATCAGGACCTTATTTGGAAAATATGATGAGCTGAGAAGGCAAGTACATGGTGAAAATTATGAGGATATTATCATATCTCATCTTTGTGCTTCCTTACAACCTTGAACCAAGGCTTTTAAAATTACTTTGGTGACTTAGGTTTTCAAAACACCCTCTTCACAACAAATCCACCAGACCAGATGTAATAGACAACCTATCTTTACACTACCTTCTACATCAGATGCTAGACCTTATGGGATGTGTAAGCAACACTGCAACTATTGCAATACACTTAGTGGTTTACCTTTGCAATTTAGCAGTTTTTGAGTCTGTTGAGCTAACATTAGGGGGTATCAAATATAACCAAGTCCACCATTATCTGATTGAATGGTTTGAAAAAATCTACCATTTGTCAAACATGTTGGTTCTTTATTTTACCCCTTTGCGGGCCCATTGAATCAAAAAAACATTTTTGAGAAAATTTACTGGTTTCTGATGGTGGATTTCCTGTATTTGATACCTCCTATTTAATTGTAGCTCCTACACCACCGGTGTAAGACTCAAAAGTGGTTTGTGAGAACCCTTTTTCTGAATGGAGAAGGGGATGATGGAGTTGCAAACTCTGCCCTTCTATGCTATCAGAACAACAAGACCACCAAGCTTAGCTTGGCAGTTATATTTATTGTGATAGAGGATAGTTCAAGATGAAGCTTCCGAGTGATGTGTATAAGGGTCTGAAGTTATAAATGAGTGATGATTATATTGGTGAAACTGTTGTTCAAAGCTTTAAAACCCAGGTGCAGAGCTCTGGGAGCGCTATGCTTCAACCAGTAATGGTATGTGAGGCAGGTTATTGGCACTTGGGACTTGTTATGATGATGAAAGTGTTATGATTGTATTTCAATATAATTTATTGTTATGGCTGTCACTTGTATATAATCTGTAAGGGTGGTTGAGATGATCTGGTCCACTGGTGGGATGATGGAGGGAACAACTGGCAGGCAGAGGCCTCCTTATATAGACAAATGTGAGGGATTTTAGCCCCAGGGTACAGGCTTTTGAGGCATTTTAGCTGGCCTGAAGATCCAATGAGGGAATTTAGCTAGTCTAGTACATACATGCAGGTGAGGGATATTGGCTGGTGAGAGCACTGCCTTGAGGGAATTTGGCTAGCCTACAAGGTCCTACTACAAAGGAATGCATGTGCACCTACAAAGGAATTCAATATGCACTATGTGCCAATAAAGTAATTCAATACAACACAAAGGAATTCAATATTCAATATGCATCCAGTATTCAAAATGAGCCATACTCAGAGTAAAGAATCCAAAAGATATCCCGTGACAGGTTGAAATCTGTGTAACTTCTAAACCATGAGAGATATGGGGTCAGTTGTGGTGGGTGACTAGGGGTAATTTTACCTGAGAATTCCATTTCTGATGTTATTTTTATGATATATTTAGTTTATAAAGAGACAATAAGAAATTTTTATATTTTCTGCGTAGAAACACAGTATTATTTACCACACCGGGCATGGTGGATGACATTTGGACACCCAAATGGATGTACCCAAGGAAATCAGACCTTGGCCCTGCAAGGAGCATCCATTGGATGCAACTTGCATTTCACTGAAGCCAGATGGTAGGGCCAAACCATCCATTGGATGGTAGGATTGGAAGCCCTTGGGGACAAAAAACAGCAGGCATTAGGCTTGAACCCATGACCTGCAGGTACTGTCAGCTACCACCAGTGATTTCACTGATGCATTACCTTGCCACTCAACTATATTGTATTTCCTGATAGGATGGGCAAAAGGTCAGCTATAGACCCCGTGCTGCATTTTTGGATTGTTTTTCAACCATTGACCACCCTACAAGATCATTTTTTGACAATCAACCCTTTTTTTGACTGCCATACCCTGGTGAAAATCATCAATTGGACACTCTGAGAAGTGTCCAATTGATAGTTTTCTTGTTGTCCACCGGACACTCCCAATCAAGTGTCTGATGGACACCGGGCTGTACACCATCCTCTGGATGGTTTCCACTGCCAAGTATCACTTGGACGCTTTCTGAAGTGTCCAAGTGATGCCAGGCCCACCCAAGCTTCTGTTGGATGCTTTGCAACCAAATTGTGGGCGCTCAGGACGGAATCCATCCGTTTGCTGGGGGGTTTTTCTAAAAACCTGCCCCATGGTGTACACAACTACACTTACAGCTACAGAATGTTTGACAAAACAGTGCATTTTCAGCTGGAAATTACATTCAGTTATCTGGAATGGGCAGATAGTTGGCTGTAATGGGCTGCTAATTAGCTTTAATGGGCTGCTCACTAGCTTCAATTTATCTACTTAAGTAACAGTGAGATTTAGTGGGTTCACATTACAGCTGAATCTAACATTCTGAAGACAAATACATCAGCTGCATTTAGCTTTTAGTGAAGCTAATGTAATGTTTTAATGAACATTCTTGAGGATGAATTTCTTTTGTAACAGTTTTTTGGTGTTTTGACATGGTTTTTGATGCGCACAGCGCACATGGTTTCCGTGTTTGGACGTGTTTTTTGTATTTAATGGGGTAAGTGAGTTTTACAAGACATATGTCTTGTAAACCAGATAGTTTGTAAAATTACATTCACATCTCCAAAGTTTCTCTCACACACTGGATGACTTGCTGTCAACATCTGCGGGTCTCCCAGAGTTGGTTTAGAGCCTCGAAATTCAAATTTCTCTGCGAGAATTAAGATTTTTGGGGTCTAGATTGACTTCTGCAAGGGTCCCAGATCCGACGGGAAGTCCTCCACTGAAACTACAGAGTACAGCCTCTTTGGGAGCTTAAACCATACTAGTATTACTATACAGTCAAAGTCTGAACCTTGATTTTGAGGATGTCCAAAAATTCTAGCTGAAATGTAAGTTTTTTTTTTGTATTTACACGGTTTTGCAGCCCCACCTGTGTCATACTATACACAATATACTATACCAGGCAATTGCACGGCAAGATAACGCTCGCCATAGTACAAACATCCCTGCAAAACCAGCCCCGCTCCGCTCTCCCTGGATGCCCTACAAATCCCGCCCCAAAAAACAAGACTCATCCGCCTCGATTTGCCTAAGTCCCCTCTCCCAGCTCGCCCAGGGGACTCCCCCCCCCAAAAAAAAAAATTTCAAAGTCCTCTCTCTGCGACCTGCCCCTTCGGAGCGGACCGGCTCCCCCGAGAGACAACCGTCCACATTACAACACATCACTCCTCGCCCGGTACTCATCACCCGTCATATCACACATCACTCAGACCTCCGGCCAGACTATCTCCCTCACTCCGACCTCACAACCCACCCGAACCTACACCCCACCGGTTTGCCATAAGTCAACCCCCCACACTGTACGCCAGCCTGGCCAGAAGCCGCGATTCGATTCACTCACCGCACATCCATCCATCCATGTAGGTTGCTGAGATGGTTGGATTATGTGCACTCAACGCTCGCAAGTCGCTTTTTGTATCAGATTGTTAGAAAAATTAAAAATTTATTCCATGTATGTGAAAGTGTATGTGAAAGATAACAAACAAATAAAATACAAAAGATCGAAAATAAAAGTGCCCCCTGTGCCGAGACAGAAGAAATTGAGCCAGTGAAAAAAAAGAACGAGGCAGGATAAATGAGAAACAGATGACAGGATAAATGAGAAACAGATATTGAAAAAGAAGGTGAGACAGAAAATGAGAAAGAAACTGATAGTGAGTAGGAAACAAGGGGAAAAAATAGGATACGAATCGGTGGATACAAGCAGGTGGACTATCGTTCAGGGGAGATGGCTATCTTTCTTATTGGTTTCCATTTCCTCTTGGGTTTGGGGGGGGGGGCTTTTGCTTGGCTAGGCTGTCCTGTACATCATGTACGTCCTCGGTATCCTGTACATCTTGAATATGTTCAGTCTTGTCGCTTTTCTTTTTCCCTTGACGCCGTTTCTTTGGATCGGGGCCTTCAGTATCTTTGTCCGAGGCCTCGGTTGAACTGCTGGCTGAAGCGTGAGACAATTCTTTGTAGTTTTTCGCTTTCTTTGATGTTCTTCCGCTCTTCCTAGTCGACCTTCCTGGCTGCCGTGCACTAGGGCCATTGTTCTCCGATTCATCCCCTTCTTCCAATCGGTCTTCTTCGCTGGATTTGCTTGGAGTCTCTCCTGCGTCTTCTGACTCGTCGGACACAACACGTTTTTTTGGGGGGGTTTTTTTTTGGCCCCGAGCCTTCTTCACAGCGGTTTTCGTCTTCTGAGTAGTTATTTCCGCTTCCTTCTGACAATCGCCAGTTTTCTTGGGGTTCTGTTTTCCCTTGGGACCTGGTTTCTTGTGTGAAGGGACTGATTCACCTGGTGGAATGGGCCCCACCTTGAAACTAGGTCAAGTCGCGCTGGACGAACCCTTGGTCTCGGCTTCGACTTCCGCTCCAACAGTACGGTTATTTGATGGCTTCGGCCCTAGAAGCTCCACCCAACCCTCCCCCAGTGCTGTTAAAAGCCGTTGGCATTCTTCATCCAACAAGTCGGATGGCCGCTTGCAAAATTCCTCCGGCAAAACATTGAGCGGATTCTCCGTGACTCGCAGTGTCAGGTTCAGTTTCTGCAATCTGTAGTTCGTCTTCGCTCCAGGCCTTCCATTCCGCCAAATATGGTTAGATGCTTTATCTAGAATATCAAAAGAGTTTAGTACCATAAATAAAGCGACTTCTATCTCCATCAACACTTACAAATAGCATATCCAAGTTGTTCTCGAATTTCATGTCGGTTATCCTCTAAATTGCCTGGGAATTTGTTCTAATCAGCCTCAATACGGTTCAACTCATTCAACACATAGAAAACCGCTAACCTTTGTCATATTTGCTCCTTTCCACTCCATCTTTCCCTGCCTTTCTTTTCCTCTTCTTTGTCAGAAGCGGCGCTTCGGTGCCCAATATATGTTTCATTGCAAACTGTCCTTTGACAAAGTCCAAGAAGTCGTTCACAGGATTGGGCCCGGCTTGAATCATATCGAGGAACGCTTCGCCCATCTTGCTACCTCCAGTCAATACAGCTCGGCCCTTCTGGTGAGGGTATACAAGGACCACGAAGCCCTCGATTGCATGTGAAGCGCTTAAATTAACCATCTAGAACCCAATTCAAATAAGCAAGTCTGGCCAAAAAAATGTCACTGATATCAACGTGGAGCTACTTACATCTGTTCCTATCTTGTTGGCCCATCGATTCACATCAAATTTACTTGGCTTGGCGACCTTGCGAGCTGACTTTCCCTTGACTGTTTCCGATGTTGGTTGGTTGGTTGTGTTGTCCCCCTCTTGAACGAATGGATTTGGAAGTGTTGCCAGGTAAGTCGGATCGTTGTATAAATTTTTTTCCTCTTTGGAGAGCTTCCGCCAGAGTGCACCGCATTGGGACCATCGCTGTTGAATAGGTATAGTAGCTGTTCCGGAAGAAAATTTGGTAAACCAACCGGACTAGTTATCCAAGGATGATCTTGTGATTTATCAAACTTACAATCATTCTTAATCCTGACAGCCTCCGGATTGTATTGACAGAAGTAGCTGTACATGGTACCGCCTCGTGTCCGGTTACCTTGACCGATATATTTCATGACCGAATCAATTTGGAGCAAGTTGGTGCCACAGATTCGGTAAACTTGCTTGAGATATTCTTCATGGGCGTCGTCAAGTTCGACTTTATCCTCTGCCACGAGTCGAGTATAGTGTCCATGTTTACGTACAGCGTCCCGAAGTGTGTCTGTATCCATCGCATAGAGTTGTTTTACAAGGTGATGAGCTAGTTTTTTTCTCTTCTCACCACTGGAGCCTTCATTATCATTAGGTTGATTGTCTGAATCGACATCGCCTTGGTCGCTGTGATCCGCGTTGTTGGTGGGCCCCACATTGCCACTGGGTTCTGCCCCATCATTCACATCCACATTCAGATCTGGGGATGGAGGGGACTGCAGCCCCGAAAGGTCCAAATCGGCTGTCAGAGGTGGTACGTGTAGATTTGGATTCAACGATGCGGTGATTGTTTTTGTAGGCGCAGGATCAGTAGTTGCACCCAAAACGTTGCACCGTTGGGATCGGGAGGGCGGATCCGCACGAGAAGGTTGCCGCGACTGGCCCTCTGCAGTAGTTTTGGTTGTCTGGGCATTTTCCCGAGGTTTTTTACCTATGTTAGTAGTGAACATCAGTCAATTGTCTGAATCAAATACTCTAAGGAAACAAGTACATACCTGTGGCCTTTGCCCTCTTGCTTCCGGCTGTCTTATCATTTGCTGCAAACGCAGCTTGCAGCTCTTTTTGGAGATTGGGTAGCGCAGAAACTTTTAGTGGTCCCGAAGTCGAGGGTGAATGTTCTGGATGGGGGTCGGAGGCCTTCGGGCATGCGTTGGAGTGGGATTTACGTGATTTAGAGGGCTTTCGATGTCCTTGGGTAGCAGGTACTGGGCAAGTGGGGACCGAACTTGACGGAGCTTGGCTAGTAGCTGCGGAGGCAAGGGGTACCGAACTTGTCGGCGCGTTTAAGGAACGAAGGGGAACCGAGCTTGAAGAGTGGTGAGAAGAGACCGATCTATTTGTATGGGTCTGGACTTTGTGCCCCGTAGGGGCAGGCAATGGGGCGTAATTGGGGGTGGATGTTGAGGAGGGTAGAGGGTGCTTTAAAGTGTTTCCGAGGTGACTGCGGCTGAAATTGTGATTTTCAGATTGTCGAGAAGTTTGAGACTGATGATGATTTGGTGAGGGTTGAGGATTCTGAGGGTGTTGAGGGTGTAGGTTTAACAAACCCTGGTTGATTCGAGCAGCTCCATCTCGATTTGCGCTGGCCAAGGTAATGTGAGGCGCTGACTGACGATGAGCGGGTGGATATTGATTAACTGTCGGTGATCCGGGCTGCCTTGGCGGGGCCCGTCGGGAATTCTGAGTAGTTAAGGGCTGCATCGGCAGTAGTTGTTGGGCACAGTGAGTATGTTGCTGGCCGCTCGCCCCACCTGCCGAATTCAAGCAAGGATCAGCAGGCTTGAGATATGCTGGTGCACCGGTGTTGGAGAGCTGTCCTGTTGGATGATGGTGGTTGTGAATGTAACGAGGATGGTTGGAGTTGTTGTTGTTGTTATTTATTCGGAGGGGCTCGATATCGAGTTCTTGATGTTGGTTGTTCAGGACATAATTTTGGGGTTGGGGAAGAGGCGGTGCTTGGTGATAATGCGGCGCGTAGGTTGTTCTTTCGGGATTCAGGGGCGGTTGTGAATGGGCTAGGGAGTAGGTTGGGCGCTGTTGATCCGCTGGGGTTTGGTGATGAACTGTGGAATGAGGGCTGTGCGAACTTGGGTCGAACATCTTGAGCCAAGAGAGCCGACAAAGACCCGAGGTTTGATATCAAGGAAGAGCCGGGAGTAAGGTGAGGGTATAGAGGGGGTTGTTTGAGCAATCTGATGGCCGGTGAAAACGGTTGTATCAGCACGTAAATGGAACCTTGAGTGAGTTGGTTTGAAAGGGATAATATAGGGAGGGTTCAAGGTTTGATACCACCTGTGCGAGATATTAATTTGTCAGTCCCCACGAGCATTGGATATGGCTAATCAAAAGAGCATACCTGAAAAGAACTATGTGTACTTACGCTATTTCCAGAAAAACCTTCAGTGGGATGTGGTCTTCGTAGTGAAAGCACTGGGTGAGTGAAAGGCTGGATTGATGGTGGTCCGCGGTGTCGAAGTTTGAGGGCAAAAAGGCACTCACTGGGCGGGCTTTTTCGAATATCAGGAGTTGGGCGGGCTGGCTTTTCAAAGGACGGGAAGTCCTGCCATTGGGCCCGTTGAAAATGTGTAGTACAAATTATTCAAGCATTCATTATAAATTTGGCTGGTCAGCACCGTAGATTATGATACCCTTGTCAAAAGTTGGAGATTTTAGATTGAGCTTTCATGTTTATGCACTTGAAAGCAGTGGTTTATCTTCCCAACAAAGACCCCATGTCAAGACTGTGGGCATTTTGGAAATTTGATGTTAGTAGGAAAGTTTGGGTGAATGTATCTATGTTCTTAGTATTAGCTCCAAGGAAAATTGAAAGATTACAGGTGGATGTAATGACTGATCTGATAAATATAAAATTGGAACAGAAATAAGGTGTGAAGCATAGGATGAGAAGAAAATAGTTGGTTTGTCACATCTCAACATTTGGCCACAACTGATGATGGAAGTGGGACATACCCAACCAAATTTGATGATTCCAAATGTGGCAAGATGTTTCATGAAGCTATAAAAATAGTTTCCCATCATTTGGAATCATCAAATTTGGTTGGGTATGTCCTAGTCAACTGTGGCTCATTCCAAATATGTGTGCACTTAGAAACACATATTTGGAATGAGCCACAGTTGACTATAGGGTTGATGGCGCCACCGCTGAGGCGCGCCGATGTGCGGGCGCCTCGCATGCGCGCATCAGGCGCGCACAAAATGTCAAAAATGAGGGGGGGCGCGCACTTGTAACCCTAATTTTTCTTGAGGGGGCCCAGGGGGAGTCAGTCGCTTTCCCAACTTGAATGGTTGGTCTTGACAAGTTGACAGCCTCTTAAACTAGGCTGAGAGTATGTGTCTTGCTACTGATGGCACCGTTTATGGGAGTCTGGACTTGAGCAACTGATCAGTTGTTGAGGCTTTGTTGTACTTTAGTCTTTGTCAAATTGTCTTGCTTCAGGAATCCGACTTCCCTAGCACCCCAATTCTCCAATTCTTCCTTTCGAGTTCATTTTATTACTTTCATGCCACCTAACCGCAATTCAGATGATCTGGAGTCTCAAGGATGGTCTAAGCCATCCAAATCTCATGGTCCACAATGGATCGGATTCTTAATGTCAGATTTACTGAAGGACCAATCGCGAAGGCGTCAAGCAAAATGCACCTACTGCAAGAAGGTGTTCAACCAAGCAAAGCCTACTCTACTTTTCTCCCACATCACAGAATGCTGTGCGGCGGTTTCAGCAGAAAGAAAGGCCGAATACGTGCAGGAAGTCATGAAGCACCAAAGTTCAAAACAATTGAACTCCTCCGATAACAACGATAACAACGATGGTCGAATTATATCGGTTTCAATTCCATCTTCCAGCCAATCCGAATCAGTTCAAAATTACTTTCGTCCAATATCTAAAGAAAAGACAAACCACCTTCACGAACTTCTGTTGAAAGCACTTCTCAGCTCTAATATACCGATGACATTTCTCGAGAATCCATATTTCCAAGAATATCAAGCTGAACTAGTTCGCTCTCCGTATCAGTTACCACGTCGCGCGCAGGTGATGCAGAAGATATTACCACTGGTACATGCAAGACATGAAGCGGATCTATTTGAAAAGCTGAAGGATCAGGATCATCTGACATTATCCTTGGATGGCTGGACCGACAATTCCGGTAACAGCATCTATGCATTGATGGCTCTCAAAGGTGCGAAGAAGAAGTACTTCATCGATGTGCTAGATCTAAACTCTAAGAGGCACACTGCAGATAATATATTCTCGGCAATCAAAAGCTCTTTGAAAGCAAAGCAGCTTGATTTCAAACAAATAAGTGCCATCGTCACCGATTCTCCATCTACCATGGTCAAGCTTCGGGTGAGTTATTCTGTTAATCATCATATTTAAATTTCATTTTACTGATTTGACCTGCCTATCTAGAGAATTGTGAATGAAGAACATCCCCACATTCTTCGAGTACACTGCACTTTGCATGTGTTCAATCTGATTGCGAAGCGACTTGTCAACCATCCAAGCATGGAAGCAATTGTCAAGGCCAACAAGACCCTCGTTAATTACTTTATGACAGCCGGATTTTGGCGTGAACATCTTGCTACTTGGCAAAAGGAGAACGAAATAAAACACGGTCTCCAAACACTCTGCGAGACTCGTTGGTATTCGATGGCCAAAGTCTGCCTGGGTGTCCAGTCCCATGAAATCGGATTTCGAAAGTGTCTTGAACTTCTCCGCGACCCTCTTATAGATACTCCTTCAATACCTGAAGCAGTTATCAGAGTAATTGATGATCGAGATCATTTTACAGCAAATCAAACACTGGTTCGTCTCTTGAAACCAGTGGTTGACGCAATCGGTAATCTGGAGCGCTCGGAGACAACTCTTGCCGATATATGGAAAGAATTACTTGAAGCTTACAAGAATATATCTGAAGTCGATGTCTATACACGATTCGAGCCTTTCAAAGTACACTGTCTCGATGTTCTGCATGCACAGACTAAAGTCTATCATGAAGAAATATATGTAGTGGCTTTCTTTCTTCACCCAGCCTATCGCCGTGTTGCCGTTTCAAAGAAGCACTCAATTACAGACATGATCCAGATGCTGCTCCGACTGGCGAAGTGCTGGAAGTTCACAAAGTCTCAAGCATCTCTTCTTCGTGACGCTATCAATTGCTATTACAACACAATGTATCCATTCAACTCAAAGACAACGAATAAACCCCTCGACTTCTGGCTCACAGTGCCACACACACCCGACTCTGACCCTTTGAAAAGTTTAGCAATTGGCATCCTCGAAATCGTTCCCCATGCCGCTGGGGTGGAGGGGCTTTTCTCAATGATGAGTGCTATCAAAACCAAATCTCGGAATCGACTATCACCAACAACCTTGAAGATGATGGCTCAAATCAAGCTACATCTTCTTCAAGGTGATCCATTGCTTGCTCCACAAAAGATTAGAAAACAAAAGAATCCAACCCGAGACAACTCCGAATATGAGAATATGGTGGCTTACGACAGCTTTATCACTCCTGAAGAACTCGATGCCTTTGAAGAGGGGATCTCTTCGGACGATCCAACTGTAGATGCTACCCTCAGCTCAAGAGAAGATGCTTTTGTGAACACTCTCTTTGATTTTGACTTGTGGGAGTCGGACGTTCAGAAAACCACAGCGACAAGCACAGAAATCGAAATCGTGATCGATGAAAGCGACACCGAAGAAACTAACTGGGACCCTCAAGAACTTTGATTCAACACTCCATCTCTACTTGTAAATAGTCACACCTATCTCACTCCTACATGAAATACATCCATAACTTTTTATATCAAAAAAAAATATGTCGCCCTAACGCGCCGCTATTGCGCCTGCCAAAGGCGCGCACCTGCTGGCAGGTTTGGTGGCGCCCACTGGCGCGCACATTTTCAAATGTGGCGCCATCAACCCTAGTTGACTAGGACATACCCAACCAAATTTGATGATTCCAAATGTGGCAAGATGTTTCATAAAGCTAAAAAAATGTTTTCCCATCTTCTGGAATCATCAGATTTGGTTGTGTATGTCCTAGTCAACTGTGGCTCATTCCAAATATGTGTTTCTAAGTGCACACATATTTGGAATGAGCCACAGTTGACTGGGACATACCCAACCAAATTTGATGATTCCAAATGTGGCCAGCTGTTTCATAAAGCTAGAAAAATAGTTTCCCATCATCTGGAATCTTCAAATTTGGTTGGGTATGTCCCACTTCCATCATCAGTTGTGGCCAAATGTTGAGATGTGACAAACCAACTATTTTCTTCTCATCCTATGCTTCACACCTTATTTCTGTTCCAATTTTATATTTATCAGATCAGTCATTACATCCACCTGTAATCTTTCAATTTTCCTTGGAGCTAATACTAAGAACATAGATACATTCACCCAAACTTTCCTACTAACATCAAATTTCCAAAATGCCCACAGTCTTGACATGGGGTCTTTGTTGGGAAGGACGCCTCAGATAATGTACGGGAGGCTTGCAGAATCAGCCAGAGTATTGTTGCCAGTGTGAATGAGGTGAGTGAGCTACTCGAAGCTTGTGCAATTGAATGATATGCTCAAGGTGTTTAAGGGGAGGTCTTAAAGGATATGTGTAATTCAAATTGGAACAGGGCCCCACAGTCATTTTACTTTCATGCCCTCTTCATCGGGAGATTCCTGTTGCTTGAAAACTGTTATTGCTCCTCTCCTTAGCCGCACCTCATTCATCGCCCCTCAACTCATATCACATCCTCTCCCCATTGTCGATATCCGTACCCTGGACTCCCCTTTGCCGATATCCGTTCCCTGGAATTTATCGCCGCTACACCGGTGGAATGAACTATACGCTGGCCAACTGACTCGCCCTCCTTTCTCCATCAATATCCTCAGGACCTCTACCAGGCCAATTGCATCGTGAATTGGCAGCTACAAAACATAAGAAGTCGGTCCCGTTTGGTCTCTTCATCCAGACCTCAGTCAGCCCACTTGGATTTTTCTCTTTAGGTGTATTTTGCACTAACTAAGTCTTCCCGATTTTCCTCTATCAATATCTTTAGGCCCTCTTGCGTCTATTTGAGCATTCACTTGGATTGGCAGATCGAAATAGAAAAGCTTAACAGTAGGTCAACTGGAATCAAACTCTTCAATATGTACTTTGCAATCACTAACTTAGTGATACTCATGAACGCTCCTTGACCGCCATCATTTATAGACCATGGTTATATCTATAAAGGTAGAAAAACCTCTTGTCTCTGGCACTCGGGCCCAGCGATTGCGCCGCATGCGTAAAGCAGATCAAATTGCTGCCACTCAAGCTCGATTCTACGGCAAGCAAGTCGATAACCAACAAAATCAACATCATCACAGTGTCGACAGTCCAATGCTTGGCCACGATGGCTTTTCAGAAGTTGACGGGACCGGGACCGATGGCTATGAAACTCTGCTTCCTGAAGAGCCGGACGACGACTTGGACTGGATTACATTAGATGAACCTGCTGAGACTGACTTTGACCGAGCTGTCCATGCGGACAAAGAACGTTGGCAACAGCAGGCCAAGGAGCACAACTGGAACACGATCATTGAAAAGCTCCATGCATTCTACTTAGATTTGAAAGCGCGAACGAAGAACTGGACCAATTCCGAGGCGTGCACAGACTTCTCAAGGTGCATTTGTCCCCCTCACACACTGAGGAAACGTATGGTGGACCAAGTTGACCTTTTCGGTGAGTGCTCTGCATCTGTCACCCCTTATTGGTTTACAATAAACCAGCTGATCCCCCCCCCCCCAACTATTTTAGCCCAGTACCGCGTCGAGGTTCCATTCTGTCGATGTACTCCTGATGCCATCCGGCTACTCCAGACCGGATTTCTTGCGGCCTCTCCTGTTAAACCCCAAACCTGTTTCTCTCTCCGACTCCTGATTTTCCATAACTCCTTGTGGAACCACTGCCACATTGGGGCTTTGCCTTTCACCGCAGCACTCACCGAGTGGCTTGAACCTCGATCAGAAAGATTGACCGTTCGCCACCAAAAGCGGGTAAGTCTTCAGGATTCTATGAATACCCTGTCACCAAGTATTCATCAAGCTGAACGAATTGTGAAAGGCTTGAGACATGCGTAAACCCTTTGCAGCTGCGGTCGACCTCTATCGGACGTTGGTGAATATGACAGACAAACTAGTAAACCAAGCGTTGAGGTTGACTCCTCAAGAAATTCTTGCTTCAAAGTCGTGTCCTGCCTGCTTTGGACCCCAACCTCCCAATATTGAAGAATATCCCGAAACCACTCGAAACAAACTCATCATATGTGTTGATGGCAATTTTCAACATCGCCACCAAGCCAAAGCTAGCCGCGACTACCGACAAATCGAGACACCACGCATTTTTCTTCCTCCAACTGAGATCAGTCAAATGAAGGATACCATACAAGCCAAAGAGTTGGAGCTCAAGCCCCCCAAAAAGGTTTGTTTTGTTTTTCACTTTCAACTCTTTCATAATGCTAATTCGAGCTTCCTTGGTAGGCGGATCGATGCGCTGATTCACACAAGGCGGCAGATGACAAACGGAACGAGTCGACATGGAAGGGATGCGATGACACCGGGCTCATGGGATGTTGCTGTCGTCACGACGCCGCCATTTACATGGGAAACATTTTCAAGTCCGGCGAACAACGCCATCTCCCATTGGCTCTTATTAATTGGGTGATCGAAGAATGCGAGCAGGATCGCCATATCGGTGTCTTGTATGACCTTGGCTGCTCACTCGACAAATTTATTGGTGCAGTAGGTTTTCTCTCAGCCAATTGAGCTTTTGGGCCACACGATGCTGATAATTCATATTATCTCCTCTGTAGAGAAAACTTCTGGACGATCTTCAATCTCGACTGTCCTTTGGCACATCAGTTTTTCACGCTTACGTGCATAACTGGATTTGACAGTTGGATTATCATCCCCGATTCAACGACGGCTGGGGACTTTCTGACGGGGAGGGGCTCAAACGATTATGGGCTTACTTGTCTCCGCTGGTCAGTCCCCTGTGTTATTCCACACGCAACCATCGACTAGGATCACTTGCCCACCGCTTGGAATATCACAACTACAGAGGAATAAAAGGTTTACGTGAGTTTTTTCATCAAGGGATTAGCGAATCCATTCTTATTGTTAACTAATTGTGGTCGGTCATCAGCTACCTGGCTTCACCGAAAGTTTTGCGCTGCCATCAAGCGGCGCGAAGAAGCTCGCCTGGTCCTTTCTGGTCTGTTGGAGATGCGCAACCCTCACATTTCATCTGGTGGGAACTACACTCGAGCGTTTTTCAAAAAACAATGGAAAGCACAAGGAGTCTTTCAAAAGGAGCATACCGAAGCCGAAGCAGATCGTCAAGCAAAGCTGGTCAGCATGTACAAACAGGAGGTCGTTGTGGAGTTGTTGAGGTATGTTCAACAAATTATTCACTGTGTAGTTTGTGAATGTGTTGACTAAGATATTTATTCAGGAATCGCCTTCAAGGACCTGAAATCTTTTTAGCAACTGAGCAGGAAGTGATTGACCTTTTGTCATCTATTTCCGAGCACTCCGAGAAGCTGAAGAAGCTACGGGAAGAACTTACTGGGGAGCACAGGATGAATAATGTTGGAGATGGTATGTTTTTTGGTGCCTTTTTGAACAAACCTACAAGTTCACCCAGGTCTGATTTAACTATAAACAATCAAGATGAGGAGTCGAAGTTACTGTTGTTGCTTTGGGATGCCAAAGCCGACCTCTTTGTTCAGGTGGTTCACATTCAAGCTGAAATGCGACCGATTACGGATTCGAAGTCGATAGGTGCTTGTTTGGGGACCAAGCTTAAAGAGAAAATCTACAAGGCTCGGCAAGCTCGCCGGCCCGCCGTCAAAAGATATATCAACACTTTTAATCGCTGCTACCAGAATTATACAACAAAGTTCCCCGATCAGACACTGAGCGATGCTGCAGACTATCCCCTGGCGTATGACGATTTTGTCAATTTTCCATTGGATCATCGCTTCTGGAATGATGGATTGTATTATCATTCCAAAGCACCATGGGCTATTGATCCGGAAGTTCGAGCAGGGATTAATGCTACCTTGACGCTCAGCCGAGTCCAAGAGGAGTTCCAACTCTTGGCTCAAGAGTTATGTCGAGCAATAGGTTGGGGTGTTGCCCACTCCAAGCGACTTAAGGAAACGATTGGTCACATATCACGCCGTAAGTACAGTCACCTTTTACCTCCCCAAATGCATGCCTTGCTTACTTACTCCAATGTTTTACGTGATGTTACGTGCAGGTGTTTCCACCTTGGAAATCGGGGATATCAAAATGCCAGAAGATTGGATCGATGCTGTGCCTGTGGGTGGGTTTAGGAGAAAACTCAGGTACATATTGATCAAGAAAGAGTTGGATCAACAATATAAAAGACACGCTGCAATGATGGACGAATGGTCGGAGAAGATTGACTGGCTTTGGCAACACTGTCAACCTTGGAGTAATCGGGGATACATATCAGAGTGGAACGAAATGCTCGAAGAGATCCGTAGGGGGTGTAATGGTGTTGGTTCGACTAACCATCAGGGAGTAGATGAACAAATGGAGGAGGCGGTCCTCAAGGTGGACCTTGACGATGGAGAAGATGCTGACGCCACACTCGTTTCTGAGTCAGCTGCGGATCACGACACTGACGGGGCTGAAGAAGAAGGCAGAGACAACTGAGTAAACCTTGTCTTCTTGTTCCCTCATACCACAGATCCTTCCTGGTATTTTTACCTTGTTTCACCTGCTTGCTTGCTTTTTTTCTTGTGTTATCTGCTGTTTTGCTTGTTTTATGGGGTTTTATCTCTCTCCTTCTCCATTGCTTGTGTGATTTGTCTCTCTCTGGCTTGTGTGATTTTCTCAGTGGTAACAAACGACTGTAAATGTACATTATAACACATGAAAATACAAGATCGAAGTATGAAACAATACTACAAGTGTGAAGTCCGCACCAATAAAAACAGGGTCTTAAAACAAAAACAAGAGTAGTGTCTTAAAAAAGAAAACAAAAGTGTAGTGACGTGAGAAGAGTTGGAATGTGTAATAGATTGGGTGGTGGGGTGACTGAGTGACTTGGTCGGTCGGTTACCGGACAGGGGTTGAGTTGTGTTGCCGAGCAAACCGGTGGGGTGTAGGTTCGGGTGGGTTGTGAGGTCGGAGTGAGGGAGATAGTCTGGCCGGAGGTCTGAGTGATGTGTGATATGACGGGTGATGAGTACCGGGCGGGGAGTGATGTGTTGTAATGTGGACGGTTGTCTCTCGGGGGAGCCGGTCCGCTCCGAAGGGGCAGGTCGCAGAGAGAGGACTTTGAAATTTTTTTTTGGGGGGGGGAGTCCCCTGGGCGAGCTGGGAGAGGGGACTTAGGCAAATCGAGGCGGATGAGTCTTGTTTTTTGGGGCGGGATTTGTAGGGCATCCAGGGAGAGCGGAGCGGGGCTGGTTTGCAGGGATGTTTGTACTATGGCAAGCGTTATCTTGCCGTGCAATTGCCTGGTATAGTATATTGTGTATAGTATGACACAGGTGTGCAGCCCTATTGAGGCCTAAGAATGATAAATAGGTTGGCTTGTAGAATTCAATAAACACTTCAAGTAGATGCTACAGGTGATAAACTCAATTGAAATACAGCAATTTATTCTCTATCCACCTCAGCTGCTTGGCAAAGGCAGCACTCCACTCCAAATTTAGGTGGCATGGAATGTACTATGTACATTGAAGCTGAGCTAAGCTGAGATGCTCAGCTACCCACTGCTCTTCACTCGTTGTTTCAGGGTGAGTACAGACCTTGTAAATTTACATTGTTTCCACAAATTAGCCAAAAGCCACACATTTTTTCTGCACCCCCAGTGCCATTGGGAGGCTTAGTTAAGTCAGGGTCAGGCTAATTGGCGAGTTTCGAGACCGGAACCGCTGCGTCCCGAGCTAACCCGTTCGAAGCGAGATCTTGCCGTTTCAAGAAGCAGCGGCTAGGGTCATCTCCCACATCTGGTCCTTCCCAAACTCTTCTCACGTAAAATATCTGTTCGACTGTGTTATGCCAGGAAATGACTGACCCCTCTGTGAGTGGAAACATTCAAATTAGTCTGTGACTCCATCCATCTAGTAGGTACATACACAAGCGTATGGACCCCGGTAAAGATGAATTGGACCAAATAGAGCCCTCTGGTCGTTATGAAGGGCTGGCTAAACCCAGCTCCTCCCCCAGCCTGTTCGCTGGCTTTGAGTAGACCTTCTAATAGCACACTACAGTCTTTTGTCAACTCCTCAAACTTTCCAATTTGAAGGAACCGAAATATCTATCATAGCAAATACCTCTCAATCATTACACTGATGAATATGGTCTCCACAAATCTTCTGGCCTGGCTAATGGTGCTTCCTTATCTTTACTCGGTTTCTGCAATGTCCCTATTCAAAGGCAAAGACTCCGTACCAGAATACGAACGCCTAGTCGATGAGTCCCACGAGCTCGCAGAGCCATCCAACGAAAAAGGTGGGCCTCCTTTGAAATTTTCCAAATGGCCCACCAATCAACTGCCCACGACGGTCTTTCACAACGCCCCCCCCCCCCACCTCCCTTCCTCTTAGCTTCCCATCAGATAAGATTACTGACATCCATAACCACCCACACATCTTCTTGTGGACCGTTATTTGCGTTGTTAGTTTCGTCATCATTTCCGGGTTTCTTGAGATTTTCCAAAAACAAAAACAAAAAAACGGCCTCCTCGTCTCAATCTGAACCCCCAGAAGAGAGGGACGCTCGATCGACTGCCATTGTAGAAGACCCTATTGATTCAGAGGAAGCGATCACATCCCACGAAAAGGCGCTGGCAGAGAAAATTGAAAATATAACAAACTATGTCGACAAACTCTGTAAGTGGGATATTAATGTTTCTCAAATTTATATCATTCCATTCCCCCAAAATAGACACAAAACTTCAACGAAGCCGAATCACTCACGGCGTAACCTTTTCGCAACTGAATCATTATCTACAGATAAAAAGAAATATGCTTTCAGTTGGCTTCAGGGTAGTAAGTTTTCGTTTACCAAAACTACACAAGCCGAATAATTTTCCACTTCTTGGTGAGAGGATACTCATTGCTTTTTTTACGTCTGATCTCAACGGTACCTGCATTACAACAGCAAATCTGGACGAAGACCTATTTAAAGCTTTCGACGCTAGATACATCTATGGGGAGCCGACACTCCGGGCTCTGAAGAAACATTTTGAAGCTGAGATGCGATACGAGCAAGTGCCAAACAAATTAAGCCCCAAGATGGAAAGTTTAATCAAAAACGCTCTACAAGAACTATCTAAGTTGACCAAAAAAGATGACCAAACGGGAATAAAAATTGCCTATTATGCCCGGGTGTTCGCCTACATGAGTGGTTATCACCGGAACAGCAGGACTCCTTTCAACTGTCTAATTATGTCTCATATCAAGAAGAATATTCAAACAAGTGTCAAATGCTTAGAAAAGAAGTACCGACCCATATTCAATCAGTTGAATCGGATTTTTGAAAGATAGCCAGTCTTGGACGTGCGGATAGCTCATAAAACTATTTCATGTAGTAATTTTAGTTAGCACTGTCAACCCGTCTATTGCTGGTGAAAGATCTGTAAATATGGATATTAAACGCCGACTATATGTGCTCTTCCTGCTGTTGAATTCCATAAATTCTCCTTACAAACCGAACCCTAGTTTTTAGCACTCAAACTAGAGTCAAACTTTGTCAGCATTTACTTTCGCCCCCCTCTCAAGTCTCGTCCTCTGATATTTTAAGCAACTATTTAAGAGATATGATGAGCAGGAAAATGTTTTGTACTGATGACGTCTCGGCGCGCCGAGTTCGTTTAACTTAGAAATCAGACCTTTGTGTCAGATCTTTCGCCAGGTGAACTGGGATACCGAGCGGCCCATGCGAGTTTGTTGAAAAATACAATCCTTTGGTATTTTATATGTAATTCTTTAGTAGAAGAACAGGTCAGAACTCGGCCCATTCTGCCAGGCAGTTGCCAATCAAACGAAGTCCCAGAACTATTTTATGGTCAAGACATAGATAACCAAGTACACCTAGTCCCGATGAGTTATCATTGCCAGTTCTGTAAAGACTTTGACCCACTTAATGCAGGACCTCGATCTTCACAGCCCCCCCTCCCACTCTTCGGCGAGAATCGAGAGACTTGCTAAACAGATTTGCTCCACTGTCAGCACTTGAATCTTGTTCACTTTCGATTTTTTTCTACCGGAACTGCCTCTGTTACACAGTCATGCAAGTGGGGAATAATGTTTGCGTGCATCTTGTCTCCATTGCAATATCCTTTTTTTAATTCTCAACCTCATGATTTTTTGAACAATTGGTTGCGATTGAGATTTTGTTGACTAGGGTTTAGGGGCGGCTGCGCCGCCCTGGTACACTTAAGGTACCACAAATGTTCAATCACGTTTTCAAGCTCAAGAGGGCAAATTATCACGACAAATTCATAATCTTTGCATCAATGATAGATCCCTGCATTCCATCTCATCAAATTCCATAGAACAAATGCATAATTAACAGTTCAGACTTAAACAAAACCCCTCCACTTGAATAAAAAAAATATTATTTTGTGGGTGATGATTTCAAGCAATCATTAGCAAAGAAAGTAAGAGCGGAGTATCAGAACAACGCTTACAGAATAAGATTGTTGGAGAAGAGAACAATCAGAGTATCGTTTTTCTTTTTCCGAATGCCCTCTGTGTGAGAATCGCTCCCTTGAGAATGAAACGGATCGAATCTGTCAGCTAGGCGGCAAGAAAGATTGACATGGTTGAAAAATGATTGAGTCGAGGTGGCACACTTCAGACTTACCATGAATATAGCAAGGATTGAAGAGTTCATCCCGTTGAATAGTTGAAGGGGAGAGAAGAGGTCTGTCAAAGTGCACTATGAGTAGACAGATAGAGAGAAAAAAAAGGTCAATGGATGAAATTGGAAGGGGATGGAAGGAGGAGTTGATCGCCCGAAGCTATCGACAGCACTACATACCTTGCAGGCAATCAAAATACAAGAGAAGGAGGAAACAAGTTCCGATCCACCCTAAGTGGGTGAGGTGGTCGGAGCAGGAGTAGAGGATCCAGCTTATTAGTAGATTGATTTGAGCACTGTCTTCACGGCCACAAGCCGGCGTAGCCAGCTCTGAACTTTTGAAAAACGGTCACAACAATCACAACTGACTTTTTCTTTGGCCAACTCCAGACATCTATCTAACCATAGCAACACCCAGGTCAATACAATTTAGCCGCAATGGAAATGGAAATTTGTAGGTAAGAACGCGTGCGCGCCCCAATTATCCCCAATGATGATGGATCTTTAACCATCCAAATTCAATCGTCAAGTCGACCAGGACTCCTCCCCCGATTCGAACCAATAACTGCACCTGCCTATTCCATTTCTTGCAATGCAAATCAGCTACCTGCACTTCCCAATGGCGAAAGCTTATGGATTTGCTTCGTTGGGTCTTTCATGTCATCATCTTAATTGTTCACCGCACTCCCTCACCGCGCTTCTATCATTACCCTGTCATTGGACCCGTGATATTCGGGATTCCCAAAATTTTTCATGTCCACGGTCCACTTTCCACTGTCATGGAACAACCTGGAGGCGTATGTGTGACGTTGTCCGTGTTGAGATCTAACCTCGATCCCTCCAGTGCTCTAGTGGTAGTTTTACTAAGATTGATGATTACTTAATCCTAGTCGATTTACCAATGACATCATCATCCAAACTTCTCACTCTCATATATAAGCTGCCATGTTTCGAAACCTTGTCTATCTTTTCTCCCCAGGATCGGAGAACTTAAATCATTAACTTCTACTTCTCCAACCTCATCGTGATTGCTCTCTTTTCTTTACATCGAACAATCCCTACATAAATACTTCCATATCTAAGAACTCATCTCAGTCACTTGTGCCTCCGCCATCTCGTTCGTGTGCTTTCCCTTCCTCTCGACCCTTCACCGATCTTTAGCACCCTCAATTATCTCCGCCTTCGCCGACTTGTGTGCTTCCCTTTCCCTCGACTTTCCGCCGATCTTTAGCACTTGACTTTGTCTTTCCTATCGTCGTAGGTAGTCGACTCAATCATCTTTGTCAACGCGAACTCTTACCAACTGACATCCTTTCTCTATCTTAGTTGCTCCCTGTTCTTTTTCTTTTCTTCATTGTCCTTCTTTGTCGTGTCCCTTGTTATTGTTGCTTCTGCCTTTAGGTACACTTTTTCTTCATTTCATTTGTTATCATTATTATTTCTTCTCTTATTGTATTTCATTCTTACTGATCTGAAATACACCTTTAGTTTGATACTCAACAGATTTACAGTCTCGTTGGCTCAATACCTCGACCCAACTCGATACTCAAGCTAAGGCAGGATCAATGTCTGGGACCGAAAAACACGACTCCCCTGCTTCAAGTGGCGTTCCCATTTTGGATGGATCTAATTATACGAACTGGCACTCCAGGATGTTTATCTTTCTTCGCGGGAAGAAGCTCTGGAAATGCTGTACCGTACCCATCGCTGATGACGCCACCGAAGAAGAGAAGACAGCTTATGAAGAAGCTGGAGACAAGGCCATTTCGATCATCACCTCTCGAATCAATCACCGTTGCTACAATGAAGTAGTCAATTCTCTTACTGACTCCAATCCCATCGCTCTTTGGAAAAAAATAGCTTCTCAATATGCTTCTCACTCGGTCATCAATCGAGGACGTGTATTTATGGGCTGGTCTGCTGAAGTGTACAAGGGCGATCTCCAAGAATACATTGACAAAACTCGGGCTCATCTTCTTGATATCGACGCCGTTGGTATCACTCTCCCTCTTGATATCATTTCCTATCTTGTTCTCGGGAAGTTGATGCGCGACGACAAACTAGACAAAATTGTCGACAATTGTGCGATGTCTGAAGATTGTACATCATCTCCTTACCTAGTACTCGACGCTCTCCAGACTTGGCTGACTCATAAAGGCTCTAAGAAAGACTCCGACCCGGCATCCGCTCTCATTACCACTTCTGCCACTTCCGCTCCTACGCCCGGCAAGTTTCCTGTCAAGATCGTCCATCTCTGCGCATTCGGTGATCATAATCCTGAGGCGACTACTCATGCTGAACCGAGATGCTTTGAAAAATATCCGCATCTCAAACCGAACTATTCCGGTGGCTCTCGACAACCAAAGAAAGCTTCGAATGCCAGCGCCAGTTTTGTTCACGCTTCCGCATTCACCTCTTTTGTTTCTGGACAACAGTCCGAAAGCATTGTGATAGACTCTGCAGCATCTCATCACATGCTGCGAGATCGAGCCTTATTCTCCTCTTTCACCGCTGAGAAGATCAACATTAAAACTGGTAATCCGGATACTCCTCTTGTCGCGATTGGACATGGTACTGCTGAAATCCTTACAAATGGGAAGATCATCAAGTTACATGAATGCCTTCTCGTTCCTAAAATCTCTCAGCAACTTATTTCACTTGTCCGTCTCATCAACTCCTCAATCAAAATCATCAAGTCATCGGAACGCTTTGAGGTCGTTGATGAATCTGGTGCCATGTTCTCTGGAGACATTATCAACAATCTCCTTCACACTCGATACACTCGCTGTCCATCGGCACTAATCAATGTCAAAAATGTCAATTATGATTTGTGGCATCATCGACTAGGTCACCCTTCAGATGCAGTCATGAAGTCCATGGGCCTTCCAACTCCAAAAGTTGCTTCCCTATGTGAGGTGTGTAACTGCTCCAAAATGACCCTTATTCCTTTTTCAAGTCATTTTTCTCCAGTTAAATCCACTCTTCAAAGACTTCACATGGACCTTGTTGGGCCAATCAATCCTCCCTCCCTTTCTGGTTTCAAATACTTTCTAACGGTGGTTGATCAATACTCATCTTTCAAATTTGTACGGTTTTTGAAGGCGAAGTCTGATGCGTTTGAAGAATTCGAGCGACTAGCAAATCTTGTCGAAAATCTTCAAGACCACACCATCAAAGAGATTGTCTCTGATCAAGGAGTGGAGTTCGTCAATAAGAAGTTCATCGGATTCGCTGAGAAAAGAGGCATTTCACAGATCTTTTCACCCGCGGAAACTCCAGAACTGAATGGCTTTGCAGAGAGAGCGAATCGAACAATCCTTGATAAGGCCAGGTGTCTTCTGCTTACAAGCAGTCTTCCAAACACCTATTGGGCCGAGGCCATCAACGCAGCCACTTTCATTTCAAACATGTTAGTTTCACCTTCTCGACCTGCCTCTCCCTATCAACTATGGACTAACTCGCTTGCTCCTTCTCATCGGCTCAGACCCTTTGGATGCAAAGCGTATATAGCTGTTCCGAAGGAGCATCGATCCTGGAAACTAGGCAACACCGGTGACGTTGGGATCTTGGTGGGATTTGAAAATGAGGGCTCTGTTTATCGGATCGTTAGGTTGCGAGACAAGAAACTGGTCAAAACTCGTCATGCGAAGTTCGACGAGATGGTTTTCCCTAAATTGTCGAACGACTCGGTTCCTTTCTCAATGAG